GTCTTTTTATAATAATACAAAATATTTTAAAGGTTTAAAAGTTATTTGTAATCCCAGAGTAAGCCTCAGAAGAAAATACCTATATACAAAGTTCTTACTAATGAAGTCCATCTGGGCAACTGTAGCAACATGAATCTTTACTTCTTTTTTCCCTCCAACTTGGCTCAGGTAATCCACGGTCCATTTGCTTGTACATGTTCCCAAGTCGATGCCTTCCAACACTAGAGGTTTTCTCTGTAAGTGGTGAAAAAATACAACAAAAAACTTGGGAAAATGAATAGTATATGAGGAGTAATATTTGGCAATACAGGGACAAAACCAATAAGAAATGATTCTTGATCCTAAGATGCTCAAACTCAAACCTTTTGACAATTCATGCTATAACTAAAGCAGGAAGAGCAACAATATACTTAGAACAAAATTTGAACATTAGGAAAACAAACCAAACAAAACAGCAGTGCCATCAAAAGCTGGGAACAAAAAATCTGAACATTATTATTTAAAGCATTTTCACAAGTGTTATTTATAATAAAAGATATAAATGATTAAAATTTGTACTTAACAGTCAATATTGTTTATAACTTTTTATTTTGATACTGTTTCAAACTTGTGAAAAAGTTGCAAGAACATTACAATAAACTCCCATATACTCTTTACTGATTCGCCAACTGTTAAATTAACATTTTGCCCTTTTACTTCACCATTTGCTCTCATGTTCACTATGTGCATAGAAAAGAACATATTATTAAAAATAATTAAAAATTTTAACTACTTTAAGGTAAATTGCTGAAATCATACTTCTTAATCTCCAAAAACTTGAGTATAGTTCCTGAGAACAAAGACATTTTCTTACATAGCCACAGAATAATTATAAAAATTATATTTAAGAGATAAAAATACTACTACTTTATAATCTATATCCAATTCTGCTAATTGTCCTAATATCCCTTATAGTTATTTTTCCTGTTTCTGAAATGCCACATTGCATTTAGTTGCCATGTCTCTTTTAATCTGGAACAGTTTCTCAGCCTTTTTATTCCATGACCTTGACATTTTTGAAAAGTACAGGCCAAATATTTTGCAGAATGTCCTTCCATTTCAGTTTATCTGATGTTTCATCATGATTCTATTCAAGTCATACATTTTTGGAAGGAATGTACGTACACAGAAGCAACGCTGTGTCCTCCTCAGTGCAACACATCAGGCAGCAAATTATTTTGCCCTATTATTTGTGATGTTAATTTTGATCAACTGCCAGAATCAAGTATTACTATGATGAATGCAAAGACCATGATTTTTTAAAAATTTCACATCTTCTACATTAGTTGGCATTCTAATGTCAAAATGAACTCTAACATCATTTATTTATTTTATTCACTTGGTTATAATCTGATTTAATTATGATGCTCTATCTCGCATTTGGCCAGTAGGATCCAAATCAAGTTGGCTCCTATGAATTTTTACCTGAACACTTCCTTACTGTATAGCAAAAATCCACAATCCAGAATCCTTTTATACTTTTTCTATCCCAGTCCTACAGTCACTTCTTCAAGCAGCTCTGGTCTCTTTTAAAGGGAATGCTATTTACAAACCATGATCTTGGTATTAGGTATGTTCATTGCTATTGGGGTGTCATTACTTCTCGGCCTTTCTCAGTAGACAGAGCTAAGAAATATGTGAAAGTCTGTATATGCTCATTTCCCCTTTTCCCAAACACACACACACATAAACACATAGCCCACATATGTATATACCAATATCTATTTGTCTCTCTCTCCAAACATACATATATACTAGATACACATATGCACTTAATGGATGTATGTATGAATGAACCATAATACCACCAAAACTGATACCCCAATACCGATCTTATACCACAAGATTCATTTTAATTTTCATTGTTTATATATTTGTAACTCTCTTAACAGTGAGAAACCTCATTCCTATCATCTTCAATGTTTAATCAATTGCATAATCCCAGAATTCACAATACTTTCATGATTGCTAAATCATTATCATTGTAAAAAGCAAGTCTATTAACTAGAGTTCAGTATTTGTTTATAGTTCTTTTTGTCTTTAAGCTTAAGACATACCAGGTACTGTGTTCAAAAGTAATTTGGGTTACTTATTTTCCTCCCCCTTACTTAGGTTCACTTGTTATTTTTTATATTCTGTATTAGAATTTTGGTCTTTCTAATCATGACTCATTAATTTTACTATCAGTATGTAAATTTAGAATGTAAAACATTAATGTGATCCCAAAGTCAAAACTATACAGAAAGGTCATACCATCCATATTCTTCCACCTCCTACTCATTCATCTCCTAAAGATAACCAGTCTCATTTCTGGCTTATTGTTCCTGGTTTTGTTTGTTTGTTTTGCAGACACCAAAAACACATATACTTCCTTATTTCCCCTTCTTTTCTCCTCAAACAGTGGCATATTTTGTGGGGTTTTTTGTACTTCGATATTTTTTTAATTTAAAAATATATTCTGGAAATCATTGCTATCAGTTCAGATTATCTCCCTCATTCTTTTTTACTGCTTTGTACACCATAGTGTAAATGAACAACTGAATCAATCACTCTCTATGCAGAGGGTTTTTTTTTTTAGATAATTTGCAATAATCCACAAAGTAAAATCCTAAAAGAGGAACTGCTGGGTTATAAAGTAAACATATACAGTTTTGTTAGATATGCCAAATTCCCCTCCACAAGGATTGTACCACTTGACATAAAGTGTGAGAGATCCAGTTTCTTTACAGCCTCACCAAGAGTATTATTAAAGCCTTTTGATTTGTGCCATAGATAAGAAATGGTATGCCAGTGTAGCTTTAAGTTCTCTTAAGAGTAAAGTTGAACATCTTTTCCTGTTTAGAGACCAGTTTTATCTTTTTTACGGTCTACTGCTCACATTTTATCAGATTTTTGGCCTTTTACACCCCACTCCTTTAATTTTTAGAAGTTCTTTATAAACATGGGTTTTTACTGATCTTTTATGAAACATGTTGCAAATACTTTTTTCCCCAGCTTAGTTTATGTATTCAAATTTTAATCTTTTACCACACCTGAATTTTCAGTCATAGTTAGAAAGCCCGTCCACTGACCTAGATTATGGAGGAATTTATCCATGTTTTCTTCTAATACCCATGTAGTTTCATTTTTCTACATTTATGTCTCTGATCCATTTAGAGATTTGATTATTCTTGTGTATGATGTCAGATATAAATCTAATTTTATCATTTTTAAATGACTATCTAGTTGCTTCCACATCATTTATTTAAAAGTTCCTTTGCCCCAGTGACTTTTAACATGTCATGGTCATCATATATTAAATCCCCATGAATGGAAATTTATTTTGGGATGTATACCTCCAGGCTTTCCATTCTGTTTCTCTGGTCTCGCTATTCATACACCTATATCACACTGTTAATTATTAAAACATGTTAAAAATCTGAGGACTATGCCCCCTCATAGATTTTCTTTAGTGTTTCCAAATAGAAAGGTCTTGTTTCACAATTTTATTAATTTCCACCTTTATTATATCATGACCAGAGTGTTGTTTGCAATGTTCTGTTCCACTTTATGAAACTTACTGATGCTTTGTGACATATTATATGTATCTTCCCTGGTAAGATTACGTTACAAAATACTCTTTGCCATGCCTCTTACAAAGCATTTTCACATACATTGTTTCTCCACAATCATGCCCTGCAAGCATCTTAGACTACCACATGCTGAGGTGGGGATAGGGAGGGCAACAACAAACCATCCAGCACTAGACCCACAAATAGATCTTCACTGTAGATTGCTAACTCCTAAAAACAAACAAACAACTTTGTTCCTGACTTTTTAAATACTGAGAACTGTATAGCTCTATGGCCACTCTTGTAAATACCAAGTAAAACTGCTGGGGGAGAGGAGGAGTTCCATCATAAGCATACTAACTGTAAGCTTGTGGATTATATTTTTCTTTAAATACCTGCTGGACTCTTTAGTCTGTTGTTCTGAAGTCTGGATTCCTTTACAAAACACTGCGAGTAAAAATACTTCTCTTTAATATTTTCCTCCTGAATATGATCTTGGGGAACTAAGGTTCGAATTACATATATAAGAGATTCCAACGTCTGAACTAGAATTCAGGTTAGTTAGAAGCCAAGACCAGTCTCGTTTCCCGAGGGATTCCCATTGCTTTCCCTTTTGGCTCAATGCAGTGAAAAATTGCTCCTCCGAATCCAGTAACTCAAGTAGGCTAATAGGCGCCTTTCACGCAACCAGTGGGGCGATGAAACCTCTAAACTTTAGGAAACCCCACGCAAACCCCCCGTTGCCATGGTAACGGAGGAAGACAAACTAATGAGTCTCTAGAGAGCCACTCTCCGCAGCAAGCAGTGCTTAGTAGGCAAGCTGTTTCTCGCACTCATGTCTCCGCTGTCATCTTGCTCCCCGAAAACGTATAGCTGTTCTCTCAGAAAAACTTAACAGACGATCCATTCGACATCCCTCACGTGCTCTCTCCCCTGGCCACCCGGCCAAAAGGCCATCTTCAGCCGCCTGCCGCCTCCTCCCCATACCCTAGGTCTCAAGAAACCAGTTCGGAGCGGCCCGAGTGGTAGGGACGGGTATTTCCTGGCTCCCTGCGGTTCGGCCTGCCCGAGGGCCTCACCTGCGGGTAGAGCTGCTGCGTGAACTGTTCCTGCGACACGCCCTCCAGCCGGGGTACCGGGATGCTCTGCCAGGCCATGGTTGCTCACGGCCTGTCCTCTTCAAGTCCTGGGTACCCAGGCCTGACACGTCCCACAGCGCGCCTTCCGCCCGGAAACGCGACCCGGGGAGAAAAGGTCCGCGGGGCCGGCCGGCTCGCTAGAGCCTCTGCTCTGAGATCCGGACCCAGGGCCAAAGGTCGTCTGCGTGAGTTGCGTGCCGGGGAGCTGGAATGAGGCTGACTCACCAGAGGTGGCAGCAACAAGCCGGTTCCACTCTCCAGTCTCTTTCTCCGGACGCGGCCGAGCTGGTTTCCCACCGACTTGCATTCGACTCAGCACAAATAGGGACTGGGGTGAAAAGTCATAAAGATGGCGCTGGCCGTTCGTCTTTTGCCTCGCTTGCTGCTCGCTCCGCAACTGCCCAGCGGGGCCGGCCGACCCCGGACTCCCCGTGGAGCCGAGGCGAGACCGCAGTTGGCTGACCTTTGCCGCTTCTGCCGCCGCCGCCTCGGCTCCGGACCCGCCCGGCTTCCTCGAGTCACTTGGGCCTCGGCGCTGCTCGCTCGCGGCCCGCAGCGTCCCCTGCTCGGCCCTCTGGGGCCACCGGCAGCCCTCTCCGCATTCCCTGCCTACCCCCGGCGCAGCTACAGCGCCGAGGAGCAGCCCCCGCCGCGCCAGAAAACCAAGATGATCATTCTGGGATTCTCCAACCCCATCAACTGGGTTCGGACTCGAATTTACGCCTTCCTAATCTGGGCCTATTTCGACCAAGAGTTCAGCATTGCAGAATTCTCTGAGGGAGCGAAGCAGGTTTGTTCATTTACTTGGGGTTGACCTGTTCGCCTCTCCTGCATTCAGCTGTTCCATGCAAAACGTGTTTAGCGATGGGGTTTCCTCGCTGGGTCCCAAAGTATCCAAAGTGGGTAGTGACCCAGACACACAGCCCTCCGCTACTTCTTGACTAAATTAAGCTGCTGCCTACGTTTGCACGGTCGCCGAGGTGGTGGGGTTCGATTGAGACACCAGTTCCAGCAGCTGAAGCCCCCCAACTCCTTTTTCTGCTCTACAGGTTTTGAATCCGATAGAAATGAACTCGATTCAAAGCCCATTTCTGCCACTTAAAAGCTACATGCCTTTATCTTTCTGAACATGAATTTCTGCAAAATTAAGAAGACCACTCCTGGCACATAGTAGACGCTACACAAATGTTGGTTGAATAAGTGAATGAGTAGATACGATTGTTTTGAAGAGTAAATAAGGTAGCATTTTCAAATGCGATAATGTAATTTTAGGTAGAAAAACAAAACTTCCTGCTAGCTATTTGTCAGAGCTCCATACCCCATCTGCCCACCCCACTATTCTTCCCCATCATACTCTTTATAGACTAACCTAGAGATAAGCAGTTTTCCCCTTTCAAAGAATTTGCTGAGCAACCTAGTCGCTGGTAAGTGCATAGCATCCTACACACTGAGAAATAGCCTTTGGTGATTCATAGACCTGACCCCTTGCCTATTTTCCTTTCTGAGTGGAGGATAATACCCTGCCTTATTTTAGAACTATTGATAAATAGAATTCATAGCTTATTTCCCAGTTCTTACTGCCATATAACTTAAACTTAGGCTATAAGGGTAATCATTTCGCATTTCTGATTGTATACTGATAGTGATCTATTCCTAATTTATTTCAGATTATTTCTGTAAACACAGCTGTTTATATTTATTTGTGGCACCTGTCAGTTACAAATAAATGTTTCCAACTTCATATAATCAGTGTCAATATTAACTCCTGCTTCCTGCAGGATTCAACTCTTGACTGATTTATGTGTTTATAAAAAAAAATTAAAAAGCAAAGGGCAAGCTTGAATAATAGTGTTTTAAGTGGTAAACTGCTTATGTCAGTTCTCAAAATCTTTTGTCATGTAGAAGTAAATTGGCATGATCCTACTATCCTCCACAGTGCCCACTGATGACATGTGAACTTGTCTATCTCATAACACATTATATGACTGTACCAGCTCATCTGTGTGTCAGTGAGAAATGGAAATCCTCTCCCCTTTATGGGCAGGAATCAGGCCTTTCGCCCTATTTCCTCTGAATACAGAGGAGCTTGGGACACTTTTTAGCCCCTCTCTGATGCTGCTGGTCTCCAGCTGTTAGCTATTTTTGTCCTCGACCTTGCTATTAAGTAGTATCTCCACCCTTTCATCAGCCAGTCTGTATACATGGTTTGACTCATCTAGGTTAGTTTTTCTGCATTTAACCGTTGTGATTTCCAAAAGGAATGTTGGGCCATCCATGGCAAATATTTGTCAATTCCCTTAAACCAATGGTTACTTCTAACATACCTTTTTTTTTTTTTAATGTTTTATTTATCTCTGAGAGATAGACAGCCTGAGCAGGGGAGGGTCAGAAAGAGAGGGAGATACAGAATCTGAAGTAGGCTCCAGGGTCTGAGCTGGCTGTCAGCACAGAGCCCGACACGGGGCTCGAACCCACGAACTGTGAGATCATGACCTGAGCTGAAGTTGGACGCCCAACCAACTGAGCCACCCAGGCGCCCCTCTGTCTCCGTTTCTTTATGCCATTCCTCTGCTCGCAGTCTCTTTCTCTCTCAAAAATAAATAAATAAAACATTTTTAAAAAATGAGATCTCATACATCTCACTGTATTAGTCTGTGTAAACTCATTATCTTTTCTCCCTCTCTTCCCAAACCTGCCTTCCCTGTGTATCTTAATGAAGTTCAGATTGCAGCCCAGATCTCTAGACTCCCAGTACAATCTAGAATGTACTCCTTACAAATTTCTTTGGGTTCTTGGTTAAGAGGGGAGGGGTCACATAACAGTCATTACAGTGATAAGAGTAATTACCTAATTATTATTTAAAAAAGAATTTTATAGGAGGGTTCTTATTGAGGAGTTCGTATTTATACGCACACCGTCTCTTCCCAGGTCCTGAGAGTGGATACATAATTGGCAATCAGCTCACTACTGTATATTTGCGGAGGCCATATGAGAAGAGACAAGCCAGCCAATTTTGAAGCATATCATAGTATTTGACATTGTTTATCACCTTTATCATAAAATAGTCTGTTGATACTAAGCTATTTAAGTATAAGCATTGTACATTGTATGGTATTTTTGAATGGTTTTTTGAAATAACAGTTACCACGCCCCACTTTCTTTTAAAGGCTTTTGCTCATGTGTCCAAGTTGCTGTCACAATGTAAATTTGATCTCTTAGAAGAACTTGTGGCCAAAGAGGTAAAATATACTTTTAATTTTCCTTTAAAAATAAGTGTATTATTCTCTTGCAATAGAATGATATGCATTACCTTTATTTATGCTTAAAAGTAGTATGTATGCCATCAGCCAAAGTAGAGTCCCTGTATCTTTTGGGTAATTTGGGTCATATAAAAGCATAGAATGACTTGCTACTTAAGACATAACTAAGTAAATATGATGTCTTACAGTTGTTTTTGTACTGAATGTTCTGTAGGAATTACCTGTTGAACAATTAGATGGCTTTGAGCCTTGCTTTTGAATATGAATAAATATGGTAGTAAATTAAAAAATAGGTTTAGGGACACTTGGGTGGCTCAGTCGGTTAAGCATCCGACATCGTCTGAGATCATGATCTCGTAGTTCGTGAGTTTGAGCCCTATGTCAGGCTCTGTGCTGACAGCTCAGAACCTGGAGCCTGCTTTTGATTCTGTCTTTCCCTCTCTCTCTCTCTGCCTCTCCCCTGCTTGTGCTCTGTCTCTCTCTCTAAAAAAAAAAAAAAAGAAAAAAAAAGGTTTAGGCAAACTCATTCCATAAAGAATTCACCTGCTTATTTGAAAGGCTTTTGAAAATCCAATAGGCGAACTATGGTTTGCTTTTTTCCATACTTAGGTGCTACATGTATTGAAGGAAAAGGTTGCATCATTACCCGATAACCATAAAAATGCCCTTGCTGCTGACATAGATGATATTGTATACACATCAACAGGAGACATCTCCATTTACTATGATGAGAAAGGTAATGCTGGGGCATAATCAACTTTAAATGAGACATAATGCCCAGATAGGCTAAATGAGTGGATAATCATGAAATGATTGTTGGGGTTTTGTTGGTACAAGAGGATTTTTTTAGAAATTCAAGGAAAATAATACATTCATTCCTTAAAGACTTAGCTATGGAAGAGTTAAGATATGGTCATAGTTATTTAATTAAGCCTCTCTAAGCACCTTCCTTTACTTTAGTTCATTCACAAGAGAGGATATCATCACTTACATTGGTGAAAATTGTCTAAGGCTCCTATCATGTCTCAAATAGAAAGCATTTGTGTTTCAGATTTCCTAATTTGAAGGAAACAATTAAGCATTTTAAATGTCCAGCGGTAGCTTAAATAGAAGGATTGAGGAGTAAAAGGAAAAGTGAAAAATATCAATTAAAGGCTGTTTTGAAAGTAAGACGAACTGTGGAACTCCCAAATTGGATTTATTTTGGAGATACTGAAAAAGATTGAAAGGACTTTTACTAGTTATCTCGTTTTCCTCCTTGTGCAATGCAAACATTTTTCCCTGTCATATTCCCAAAAATTTATTGACTCGTTTATTCTTTCTACAAATATTTGTAAATGTATTATGTGCCAGGCACACAGGAAATCTAGCCTTTGCTTACATACTTTGCAAAGCAGTTCTGATATAGGACTCTTTAATAGTTTAACATTTTTCATATACATGTTAATTTGAAACATTTCAATAGGTACTTTTAGTGATAAATATTTTCTTCTCCCTAACATTTGAAAATTAAATCTTGGCACCATGGCCACTACTTTAACCCAGAACCTTGTTAGAATCACTAGGCACAAAGCAGAGTGAATGAGGGTAAATAAGTACATGCTCAATAAATCATTACTACTATTTCTGAGATACATAGAGGGCAAATATGTCATAAACCTTAAGAATTTTCTAAAAATAAAAAGGGATCAGTGTAAGTATCTTACGTTAGACTAGAGTAAGTATAAAATAGGATTTGTAACAACTTGTATTGCTACTGATAGTTTCTAATTTCATTTTGGATATATGGATGATAGATTATTGTGATTTGTATTTGTATGTGTGTGTGTGTGTGTTTTTTCTCTAAGGAAGGAAGTTTGTTAACATCCTGATGTGCTTTTGGTATCTAACCAGTGCCAATATCCCCAGTGAAACTTTAAGTGGAACCAGTGTATTCCAGGTTAAGTTGGGGGATCAGAACGTGGAGACTAAACAACTTCTTAGTGCAAGCTATGAGTAAGTCTAATCCCATTTCATTGTTTCCTTTCTCTAGAAAATGGAAGGTAGTGTGAAGGAAGTATGAAGGTATGAAAACTAAAGGGAGCTTTAGGAAGAAAAGCATTGAAATTTGACAAGTTATTTAAGAAGAGAGAAAGTCCTAAAGGCATACTGGACATGAAACAGAAGTGTTGAGAAATTAGAAAGAGGTAATGCTGCTGAATGTAATTGAAGGGTGTTTTAGCTGCCTATCGCTGCTTCGTAAACCATTCCCAAACTTAAGCAGCCATTTCTTTTGTCTGCTGCTTTACTGCTCAGAAATTTTGGAAAGGTGCAGCTGTGGGGTTTTCGTTGCTTCACCTGCCATCAACCAGGATGGCAGGGGCTGGAGAATTCATTTCCACAGTGGCTTCTTCGTTCACATGTTCCCCCACTTGGTGCTCCTTGGCTCCCACACATAATGTCTCATTCTCCAGGGCCTCTCTTCACAGCTTGGGCCTGTGGCAGTCTCCAGCTGTTTGACCTGCTGGTCAGCTAGGCCGGTAAAGGGCTCTCCCAGGATTGGAACATCATTTCTACCTTAGTCTACCTGTCAAAGCAGTCATAGGACCTACAGGTTGAAAGGACATGGAGAGATTCCACCTTTTATGGGGCACTAGCAGGGTCCCATTTAGAAGAGCATGTCGGATGGGGCTTATGGTTATATCCATACTCAGAAAATTGAAGGGTTCCCGCCTGTAAAGAGGTACTGTCTAGTAGGTTAGCAACTTATTTAAAAGAGACACTATCATGTATTTTTGTGCTTATAAAATTTGGAACACTGAACCAGTCAAGCAAGTCAGTGGAGACATAATTTAATATTTAAAAGAGAACACTATTATGTTGCAAAACTATATAAGCTTAATTTTAAAATAACAAATCCCAAAGATGACCTAAGGAAGAAATTATATTCTGTTTCACTAAGGTAAAAGGGAATTGTATCCTTATTTTTTCCTTTTTTTGAAAGAAATGTTTTTTTCTTTTTTAAAATGTTTTATTTGTAATTATTCAAAATATATATTTAAATACTTAAATCTACTGAATCATATCCTTTTAAAGAGATCACTTGTAATTAAAGAACAATATAGTCAGTACTCATCTTTGATTCCTCTGATATTCCCTACTAAGGCCATGGGCAGCTTATAAACACTGTTATTTTCAAGATTGATCTAATGTATATAAACCAAATTCCAATAAAATACTCTTTTCATCACCATAGTCCAATTTATTTTTCCCCATATTAGGCATATGTTCCAGCTAGTATTTAACAGCGGAATAATACCCAAGTTTCTCTCAAGGATTGGCAGATGTAGGAGTATGTACCAATTCCTCCAAAATACTTATTTTAGGGGCATGTAGGTGGCTCAGTTGGTTAAGCCTCTGACTCTTGATTTCAGCTTGGGTCATGGTCTCACCATCATGAGCTTGACCCCCACATTGAGCTCTGTGCTAGGCATGGAGCCTGCTTGAGATTCTCTCCCCTTTTCCCTCTGCCTCTCCTCTGTTTGTGCGTGCTCTCTAGTTAAAAAAAAAAAAAAAAACATTTTAGTGGAGAATATTCTTCTAATTTTGTGAGGATATTTTTCCTGATTGAATTGGTAAATTAAACTTTTTGTTTTGATTTTTATTCATGATTAACCATTAGCTTGTTGCTAAAAAACTGCAATATGTAGTTTGGACTTATGTAAGATTCACTTTATTTGTGATTTTTCCCCTAGATTTCAGAGGGAGTTTACGCAAGGAGTAAAACCTGACTGGACCATCGCACGGATTGAACACTCAAAGTTATTAGAATGATCTTTCTTGGAAAAATCACCTTGTTGGACTTTTAGCAATTACTATGAAAAATTAAGGGAAAATATTTGGATCAGTTGATCTTCACTTAGTCAAGTCTGTGGATCACTTTTGTATTATTTTGAAATATTCCTTGTAGTATATTGACATGGTACAATAAAGCCTTTTCCACAGATTGTTATCACCTTCTATAAAAGAGATCAAAGTAGAAAAAACTACAGCAGCCCATTGTTGGTGTCCTATTCAGTATCATTTCTAGTGTTACCTATATTGTGTATGTACACAGACTAATTTTATAGACAGTAAGGAAGGTATTGAAAAAACTATACCTTTCTAAATTAATAGTCCTTAATATTTTGTGGTTAATACATCTATACCAATAATTCAAGATTTATTTTTAAAAATCACCATTGCTATTTGATTACCTCTAGTCACTAGCTATTTGAGAAGGACTAGAGGGAATTCTGTATTGGTCACTGCAGAACTAAAGATCAGTGAAGTTGAAGCTTACTAAAAGGATCAAGAGAAAAATATCACAGCAGTGCCTCAGCCACCTCTGGGATAATATCAGGTCTTCTAACATACTTGTATATTGAATCCTAGAAGTTGGGGTAGGGGAAACAAAAACAATGTAAGAAATAATGTCTGAAAATTTCTCTAATTGATGAAAACTATAAACTCACAGATTGAAGAAATTCAATAGGCAGGGTAACACATAAAGAAAACCCCACTAAGGTATGCCAGAATCAAACCAGAGAAAATTATAAAGTGCTGTAGAAAAAAAGGATACATTCCATACAGAGAATGACTGCATATGACTTTTCTCAAAGTGAAAATTAGAGACCTTGGTATAACATCTTTAAAATGCTTAAAGAAAAAGCCTGGCAACCTAGATTCTATATTCAGCAAAAATATCCTTCAGAAAAGGTGATAAAATACTTTTTCAGATAGGGAAAAGATGAGTAAATTTGTTGCTAGTAGACCAGCAGACGTGTTTTATAAGAAATGTTAAGGACCAATGGACAGAATGGAGTTCAGAAATAGATCCATGCCTATTGGACATTTGGTTTTTGACAGAGGTGCCAAAGTAATTCAGTGAGGAAAAGGTAGTCTTTTTTTTATGTTTATTTTTGAGAGAGAGAGCATGCATGTGTGTGGACATGAGTGGGAAAGAGCCAGAGAGAGGGAGACGAGAACCTCAAGAAGGCTTCATGCTGACAGCAGAGTCTGATATAGGGCTCAATTCCAAGAACCATAAAATCATGACCTGAGCTGAAATCAAGAGTGGGATGCTTAACTGACTAAACCACCCAGGCACTCCGAAAAGTAGTCTCTTTTAACAAATAGGAAAATTATATATTCAAATGGGAAATAAGTTTAGCTCTTGCCTCACACCATACATACTCTTAGTACAAAATTGAGATTGCAAAATAGGTCATAGACTTAGATAAAATCTAAAACTCTAGAAATTCTAGAAAGAAATTGAATTTTGAAATTGCTTTCTTTTGAGAGACCAAGATTTCTCAAGACACAAAGCATGAATCATGAAAGAAAACAATAATTGGAATATATTAATATTAAGATGCCATATTTGTGATACATATATTTGACAAAAGACCTATATTTGGAATATATAAATGATGCTTATAGCTCAGTAATGAGCTGAATATTGAGCAGGGAAAAGCTCCAGCTTAGTTCCAGCCCCTGGGGGCTCCCTGGTGTCCACTGGAACTCTGTGCTGGTTTCAGAGCCACACCAAAGGCAAAGGGCCCGCCTTCAGGGCTTATGTGCCAGGTATTCCTGGGGTCAGAACACCCTCACAGAGGGTCAAGAGACCTTGCTTCCAACAATCTCCAGTTAAAATCTGTCCTGATCTCTGGTAGGAACCCACTAAAAGCATGCATGCTACATGACCATGGGCAATCACCAGGAAGGCTCTCTCCAGGTATCTAAACTGCAGGACAGATCTCACCTAATAGAAGCTTTAAGGAAATTTAAAAAACAAAAAGCATTTGAATGGACTCTCCATGAAAGACATTAAAATTGCCAATAAACGCGTAGAAGGATGCTCTACATCCTTAGTCAATAGGAAAAGAGAACCACACGGAGATACCACCACAAACCCACCAAAATGGCTTCAATTACAAAAACTGCAAGTACCAAATATTGGTGAAGATCTGAAGCAACTGGAATTCTCTAATATTGTCAGCAATCAAAATGGTACAGCCATTTGGAAGGTATTTTGGCAATTTCTTATAAAGTTAAACATGTGCTTACCATAGGATCCAGCAATTCTATTCCTAGGTACTTATCTGCTGGAGGTCCACTCCAGCCGGTCCAGGTGTCCCTGAAGATTGGAAGGTGTCAATGAGAGAGAGAGAGAGAGATTGAGAACCCCGAGATTCTTTCTGGTCACCAGGCAGGCATCTCTGCCCTGTCCGTCTTGGTGTCTTTATTTATACGTCAAATATTAACATGGCATCAGAAAATGGAACTTTTACAATGGATAGTTCTCTGTGATAAGATGTTTTGGAAAATTACAGAAACAGGTTTTACAGAAGTATTCTTGCAGAACTACCCCAATTATAGGGAGGTTGAGTAACTAAGAAAATAACAGGGTGTTCTTAGTGAAAAACAGGATAACATACACATTTTAATAACGCTAAGACTAAGTCATAGGTTAAGTTGTAGACTCTTATCCATCCTCATCACAGCTGCTAGTGTAAGGGAAGGTGTTTGTGGAATGTAGGCCTTAGGGAAGGGACTGCTATACATCATCAGCAAAGGAATATGTAGTAACTAATGTTCTGCCCTTATCTGTTCCTTCTAAGTCAGGCTTTTTGTCTCTGGGAAAGACTTAATTGTCCAGTTATATTCCTTATGGCACCGGAGAGCCAACCATACTTTTAAAGAGTTTTAGCTCATTTCCAATACATAGAATAGCCTCTTCGAGTGCATTTACCTTTGTGTCTAGTTTTTTGTCTATGAATTCTTGAATAGGTAGGGCATGAGAAACATTTTTGGTTAGTTGATTTGAACTGTATGAACTTCTTGGACTAACACAACAGTAGAAACAGAATTATACACGTAAAAGTCAATCTTTTATGAGTAAGGGTCATTAGCCTGTTCATAGCTCAAGGGAAAGTATGGAGGAAAACAGGACCTACCGGAGACATGATGCCTATTCCCATAATCAAAAGAAGAAATTCCCACAATAAGTTCCTTCACAAGGTGCAATCATCATATCAGGGCCAGAATAAGGGGACAAGTTACCTCCGATACCAATCAACAAGGTACCTTGGGGGTCTGTACTCAAGTAGAAATAATTGAGTGGGGGTAGATATCAGTCGTCATCTGATGGCAAGAGATCGTGCAAACTTGCCTTAACCTCACAAGGAATTTTCTCAACTTAATTCAGAAAATGGCTCCCAACACTTATCCCAGAGAAGTGGAAACATACATCTACACAAAGTGTTGTATGCTCATAGTAGCTTTTTTCTTAATGACTCCAACTGGAAAGACCCTCAAATGTTCAGTAGATGGATGGATAGACAAGTGAGTGAAGGAAGCCAGACACAAAAGAGTACTTACTGGATAATTATATTTATTTGAAATTCTAGAAAAGCTTAAACATGTTCATTGCAGAATTACTTACAATAGTCAAGATATTTTATCTGAAGGGACATAGTTTGATTTGATTTCTAGCTAGTTTATCATCTAAAGCTCTTTGAAAATATTTGGCTACATGTTAAAACTTTCCAAATTGACAATTTTTCATTTCATTGTACTTTTTATGATTAAATCCCCTATTTCAGGTGTAAGCCCAGTCACACTAAGAGAACAAACTTCCTTTCTTTCAGGTATTGGGTGTACTCTGTCAACTCCAACTGTTTAAAAGTTTCCTGAAGTTTATTTTTAAAGTCTATTATTAATTTACCATCACTTTCTTTATAATTTTGAATCTGCCTTCAATTATCCATAAAGGAAAAATGACATGTCCCTATGTAGTGCATTTCATATATATATATATTTTTCCCCTTTTGAAGCCATTTTCATATGCACAGTTGGGTTATTTAAATCTCCTGCTGTTCCACATCCTGCTGTTCTTAATCATTTTTTGCTTTTTTGAGAGGCTAGCAAATAAGTAAGCTAACTGTAAATTAGATAGCCAAGGAAGATATACAGTAAAACCCTGGACTGCAAGTAACTTCTTCAGTGAATGCTCCACAAGAGGAGCACACATCTGGGGCACCTGGGTGGTTCAACTGGTAAAGTGTCTGACTTTGGCTCAGGTCATGATCTCACTATTCGTGAGTTCGAGCCCAGCATCAGGGTCTGTGCTGACAGCTCAGAGCCTGAAGCCTGCTTCAGATTCTATGTCTCCCTCCGTCTCTGCCTCTCTCTCTCTCTCTCTCTTTCTCCGTCTCTCTCAAAAATAAATAAACACTTTTTAAAAAGATGAGCAAGCACTTCTAATAAATTTTAACTTGATAAATGAGCAATGTTCTTGCATTACAAGTAGAACAGACATCCAATGTCACATGATCACAACTGAGCCAATGATTCTCTCCCTCTTTCTCTCTCTCTTTCTGTGGGATTATGGGTGATTGTCTCCAATGCTTGGATGCACAGTCTCAGGTCATGGTGTTTGGTAGAAATTGGTGATTATTTCAAAACACTGGGAAGGTGCCCACAATGGGTACTAGTGTAATTTTTGTCAATTCAAAGCACATATGGACAGTCCTTTGCTTTTCCATACAAGAGTAAGCTTAGGAATGCTTTGCTTCATTCTAGGTCGGCTTTCTACAGATTTAGACCCTTTCTTCTTCTCCCTTATTGCCAGTTACATTGCATACAGTATATGACAAGAGTTTATTAATACCGTACTGTAGTCAACATCTGTGCAAGCGAATACAATGGCCCTTATGCAGAAAAGGATTCCACTGAGCCAGTAGATAGCAGTGATTCCATTAGTGATAGTAAAAGTCATCCTGGACAATAATCCTCCTCTTGTCTCCCTCACACCAGCCATGAAGGTTTTCTTTTTTTTTACAAATAGTTTATTGTCAAATTAGTTTCCACATAACACTCAGTTTTCATCCCCACAAGTGTCCTCCTCCATGCCCATCCCCCCTCCCCCCCACATCCATCAGTCCTCAGTTTTAGTCAGCATTC